TCATGGAAAAAATGTGAGTTATTAAAAAAGAAGGCATGACGTCTCCCATACAAACTAAAAACTTCTTAATATATATCTCTGGAAGGTTAGAAAATCTAACGAAGTATTTTAAATTTGTTATGGAGATTTATTTTATAAGTGCCGTACTGACAGAATAAATTTCATTAAATGGAAAAGGGAGAGCCGGGTTCGGCCTTATAATCTAAAGCTCTCTTGAGGCATTTGCTACAGTAATGAGAAGTGGTATTTTATCAAGGCCAGGTTACTAAATTTGAGTTGGAAATATTAGAACCCGCCGTGGCACCTCCAAGAAGGTTACACGTTCACGCGTCGTATACCTGGAACCATTTTAAGGTAAACTTAGAGGGATTGATATCTTTCGTATGCCTAGCGCGCAGACGAGATTTTATAATTTCATAGTTTTAAACGGCCTAAATACCTTAACTCGCTTAAAAAATAACGAGCTATAACGAAATGGGCACAGAAATAAAATCTAACATCATTAAATTATTTTTCATATTTGTATAAAAGGGCGGGGTGAAACCCGCGGGTATAAGCTAGTTCAATATAATGACGAATACTAGATTTATAGAAAATTTTTATTTTTCAAAAATTTTAAGAATTGTAGGAATTCTAACAAAGTTTTTTTAAGTGAAATTGTCGAATATACACAATTGATCAAACGAAATTAAAAGTTTTCGAATGTTGAAAACGTTTTCATATTTCGTCTTTTTTGAAAATTTAAAAAATTGTCGTAATTCTTGAAGTTAAAAAAAATTTTTGGACGTTGATGTTTTCAAAATTTTCAAACAATTTAAAATTCTCAAACATTGTTATATCAATACAATACTAATTTCCCCAATTTCCCTAATTTTCTAATTTTCCCGTTTTCGTTGTTCGGAGTTAACTCAAAGACTACTACATAGATTTGAGTCAAATTTTCTGAGGTTATAGCTTGCATATATGGTTCTATTATACCTACCAGAAAACTCAATAGGTGGCGCTGGTGGTCGAGTTATTTATAAAAGTCGTATTTATGAACCGATTTCGTTCAAATTCAAAACGTGTGCTACCTCCATGATGAGAACTACGATTGCGAA